CACACACACACACACACACACACTTTTAAAATGTCTCTGAGGCCCATGCCATGAACACGCTGTCAGAAAGTGTTCATGGTTGAAAAAATGACCCTTTGTCCAGTTAACATATCTGAATAGTGTTGAAGCACCAGCATCCACGCCGAAATAGCTCAGTTGGGAGAGCGTTAGACTGAAGATCTAAAGGTCCCTGGTTCGATCCCGGGTTTCGGCATTTTGCTGCCGCTCTACACTGTGGTTACTTATACAATGACATCTACTGGCCACATAGACTAAATGCATTTTTTTTTTTAAAATAAAGACAAAACACTTGTGCACATTTGGATCAGAACGATGTTAGCTTGTACCGTWGAGTAATTCAATTTAAGACGTCAAACTGTGATGTGATTTGTTTATAAAATCCCTTTTAAACAACTCACACGCTGCTGCTTTTTGTTTAATAAAGAATTTATTTTGAAAATAAGGCAATGTTGAAAATGCACTTAGATCAAACAATATAAAAAGACAAAAACATTGAATTCTTATTCTCCTCACTTCAGGTAAACATTTTGCTGAGCCGTTGTCCCAACTGTGCATTTCTCTGCTTCTCTTTCTGAATGACATCTTTCAGAGCCTTCACCGCAGCAGGCAGGTCTGGCTGGAGTTCCAGCAGTTTTCTAAATGCCTGTTTGGCCTCTTCCAGCTCATTCAGCATCTGACACGCCTGGCCCAGTCGGTACCAGGCTTTAGAGGCGTTGGGCTCCAGTTGGGTGGCTTTAGCGGCGCTGGCCTTCGCCCGCTCTGGTTGGTTCAGCTTCAATTGGCACAGAGACAGGTTTGAGTGAAGCTCGGCTTTGAGAGTTTTGAGCTCGTCGCGAGGAGGAAGCTGCAGCGTTTCATCCGAGGAGCTCGTGTCGCTCTCTCCTCCCGATTCAAGCTCTGGCGCTCTGGGCTTCATCGCTCCAACGAAGCCACAGAGAGGGATGAGGAGCTTCAGGGCACGGCTGTAGCTGTCTGCGGCTCCCCACACATCCCCGCTCCTGAATCTCACGCCACCGCYGTCTTTGTGGGACTTCACCCACGCMRTTTTTTCATCGGCAGACATTTCCCAGGACTCCTTTCCGGCCGTGAAGGCTTGGAGTTCAACAGTAGCACAAAAGGGAAGATTTCCATCCGAAGGTCGGTAAACAGCGGCATCTGGTCCGYTCACAAGCGGAGTGAGTTGTACCTGAGGGAGAACAAAAATAAAAAAATATCCTGAGATAAACTTGACTGCATCAACAAATGTATTTGTGTAAATAAAGGGTCTAGTTTCAGTTTATCCAAGTATTTTATTATGATATTTTATTCTGCATTATATGCATTATGTCAGAACAAAAAGATATTAAATGTATATTAATAAAAACGCATGTCATTCTTTTAAATGAGACTTCACAACATGGATGTTGCAATGTTTGTAAGACTTTCCCACAAAAAAAAAACTTTTTAGTCCAAAACATGAAACAATACTTAGCAAGTTGACAAAACGTAGGATTGAGTCACACCCATGTCTCACCTCACATTTCTCGCCCGCTCTCATCCCCTCCAAACACGCCTCTGTGATGTCGCACTGACCCTCGCCCAGCCTCAGCGTTACCCAGTCACCCACTGGGATCTGCAGGACAGAGTCTTGACACCGGGGAAACGGCGTGGCCGCTAATTCTGTGACATCACCAAACGCTGACTTGCCGTTGCTTTTCTCAGATAACGAACCATCCGAGCCGTCCGTTTGGACCTGAAGCTGAACTCGGACCCGGCACAGTGAGCCCAAGCTGGGACATTTTTTAGATAAACGGGCTGAAAGAAATAGAAAAAAGCCAAACAAAGTTAGCTAGAATAACATTTTGTTCAAGTCTTTAAAAAAAGGTACTAAAAAAAGAATTGTTCATGTTTTTACTTGTAGCATCTGCAGTATTGGAACCGGTTGGTTGACTCCACTTGTGCTTCTGTTGCACCCTCCAGAGGCCTTTGGGACACACAGACACCCATGAGGTGACCTCAGCACCGTCTCCATGCAGAGTTTGGACAGGCTCCATCACTGGGTACATAAACATATTCAGGCATGAAAGATAAATGAATAATTCTTTGCGGAAATATCAAGAATACAGAACATGACAGTCAACATTTTTGAAACCAAATAAGTCCTGAATTTTAAAAAATGAAGCTTCTGGTTTAGTTAGAAATGATACATTAGCTTTCATTACTGATGAAATATTAGTTTAGTTCCTGGAGTCGAACAAATGGGGACTTATTGTAATTTCGCTCATTACATCAGATTAAGTTTATTATTATTTATTCACTCTACTGGTTTGTCTGAATACAGTTAAATGTGTACATTCAGCCCTCATATAACAGTATAAAATTAATTTTTATCTAAAACAATCAAAGCAATATAACATTTTGGCAAGTCATGACAACGTTACAAAGTCCAAATAGCAGCTTTGTTTGTTGAAAAACTTTGAATAAAGTTAAGATAAAATAGAGGTTTCRCTCTTTATGAGACACAATTACGGTAGTTTTATATCACAGTTAAACATCAAACAAACTGACCTTTATTTTTATTAATTTCCTTCCACTGTAACTAAGCTTTAATATTTCAAATCAGGATTCTGATATTACCTTAATATAAATGTAGAAAAGACTAACATAGGCCTGTATATTTGATGTTTATTGAAGTTTAATCAGAGAGGGTCTACATTAGAACGATTTATTTTTGTTCTTATTTGTAAAACACTATTTACTGTCAAGAGTTCTAAGCAATTGTATTTAGTGGGAAAGGAGCAGGGGTGGCTCATTTGGGGTGCAGACCTACCGCTTCGTATTTATTACTTGCTTTTATTAATAGAAATATAATATTTTATGTTAACCAGTGTAGCTTAATATAGACACCAAGCTAACAATAACTTACTAGTCGTGATCTTAAAAACACAAGAGAAACAGTTATCGTAAAGTTTATTTAAAGTGCCATCTTCATCATAAGTGTTATTTTTGACAGTCTATTAAAACGAACGTTAGTGTTAAGGAATTTATTTTGTATTATATGACACACACACACACAAATTAAAAAAAAAAACATCGAGGTAACATCTCTGAATTTGAATTGGTTTTAATTGAAAGGTTTCAGAATCAGGGGAGGGATCGATCCACCGCAGTAAAACAAAGCAGCGCCAGGTGGTATCAGACAGCCCAGCTTGTCTCGTTTCTAACCGTCTAAATATTTAATCTGTGAAATATGAGCCACACTGAACTTATCGCACACACAAACATCAGTTTCTCGTCGGTAAGTAATAACATTTGTAGGTGTAAACCGAACAATAAAAAAAAATCGACCCAACCTTCTCCTGTTTGTCGCTCCGTGTCTTCTTTGTGTTTGAGGCTGACTGTCGCTTTAAACTGTAGTCCGAGCTTTAGCGCCCCCTGCAGTACAGAGAGCGTCTTCTTCTTCTGTTTGTTGGTGGTTGGCAAACGACATATGATGCATATTATTGCCACCTACTGGTGGTTAATGTGTATTAGTTGTCAATTATTGTCTCGACTTTTGTCGTATATTTGAGACGTTAAATGTTTCCTTAATCTTTCTAAATTCCTCTTTCATGCATCTTTCTCTCATAATTGACATACTCAACTTGCATGCTCTATTTCCCTCTGTCCACAAAACATCAGAGGTAAAAMCGTGTGACTGTTACAGCAAAAGTTTTCACAGGATTTCAAAACAAATATTTGTATTAAAGTAAAGAACTTAAAAAGTATTTTAAGTGATACCAAGTACATGTGGGCTATTTATATACAAGCTAACACATTTTAAAATCCAAGATTATGATATAT